CTAGTTTTTCCTTATAATAATAATAAGGAATAATTGAAAGAATAAGCTAACACCACATAAACTCTTGCAGTCAGGATTCAATAGGGAAGGCTGAAATTTATGGATAGGATTTTGGTGTGAGATGCAATATTTGAATAATATTGAAACTTATTTCCACCAGATAGACATAGTTATCAGAAGAAGTCTGAAAGATAGCCCCTTTACAAAGTGATCACAGTTTTTATAATCACTACAGGATGTAAAAACCTCAGGCAACCCTCGATATGACACGCGAGAAAGGACAAAAGCCCGTATTTTGTGTTCTAAAAGCGCAGAACCTCAGTGTGATAAACAGAAAACAGAAAGATATTCCAACCACAGAACCAATTTTGAGGCCGCAGTCCTCAAAAATGACTCGGTCATTTAAGGCAAAGAAGAACTGAGGCTCTGGTACACACTGGAAATGCCTCAGGAAATGTAACAATAACTGTAATATTTGCTCAAGGGGGTGGATTCCGGACCAGAAATAGAGCACTAGTAAGACAACTGGCAAAACCAAGTCGATGGGTCATTGATTTATTTGCTGAAATCTGATTTATTTTTATGCTAACATCATTGGAGAGTCTGATAAGGCATGTGTGTACTGGGATTCTCTGTACTATTTGTGCAACTGAATAGCTTAGCTACAATTAATTCACTTTCAATTATTTTTAAAATATAGTGACTTTCTAGTAACTTGAACTCAACTAGCAGTAACTATTCAGTAGGGAAATATGGATGGGATGCAAGCCATACCTACAAAGTATCAATGTGAAGCTTTTATATCTTCATTAGCCATGAATGCTAAGAGAAGTCTTAGCTAAGAGGATGCATTGCAGAATTCCACACATGATTTGATCGAATAATGCTAACACGCATGGATTTAGAGAAAGAGACCAGTCAGCTCACTAAAATAAATAATCCTCACATTCTGTGAGGGTCACAGATGCATTATGAAGTGTACACATTAGTTTAGAATGAAACTCTTAGCTTCAACTTCCAAGACTTCAAATATTTGAAAAGAAATTTGCATGCATGGATGAATTTTCAGCATACACTCGATAACCATCTAAACTACCAGGTAGTGACAGAACGGCCTTCAACAATTTAAATAAGGTGAAAACACAGTGCTAATCAGAGAAAAGAAGATTTCATAACAATGTGTACAGCAGGGTCTATTTTCATTAAGAGTGAAAACGTCTCACATAACCTAACATTTGATATGACAAAATGGAAGCAGTGTTTCAGTCTGGGTGGTTGCCATTATCTGCTTTTTTTCTTGCTTTGCTTATTGTCCATTCCAAAATTTTCTATAATAATTATATATTACTTTAATAATCATGAAAATATTGTCATTTTTAAAAGAAAGTAATGTGAAAAATTAGGTTTCTGAATAGTGAGTAATGAACTAACCACTTCAAATAAATGGATGTAGTCAAAAATAAAATTTCAGTGCTCTAGTCATTTGTGTGAGAATGACTGGAGGCTCCAAATAGGAGGTGGTAAGTGGATTTTTCCACTGTGGTCATTTCCATTCAAAATGTCAAAAATTACTCAGAGATAAGTTTAGGCATTTGCAGTTAATGTCGTAGGAACGCAAACACCCTTTGGAATAGTTTAAAAAGGGAATGCATACTTTTTTGTTAGGAAAAGGACAGAATGCGTGTCCTGGGATATTCTAGTCCTATTTTTCTCTATGGGACATATATTAACTAGAGGTAGCTTTTGCTCTACTCTCTAAATTTAAAACCTTTCTCTAGTGACTTTAGTCAAAAAAGTGTTTCTTCTATTTTAATATAAATATTAACCACCTGGGGAATTTAACTCTGTAGGCCAGAGGCAGGACTTTCGTTTTGCACAGGAATCAACTGGGAGTTTATCAGCAATGTAGAATCTTGGGCCTCTCCTGTACCCCTATACCAACTGACAATTTATATTTTAATATAACTGCCATTATATGTGCATGCACATTGAAATTTGAGGTCTATGCAAATTAAAGAATTAAGAGCATTCTAAACAACTGTTTATTGCGGCTATCGAACTCTGTTAGTGAAAGAAACAATCTTTGATTCGGAAGTTGATTTTCAGATGAGTTTTAAATCAGTTCTGGTCTACTTTATCTTTCTTATTTCTATGCTTATATTTATAGTCACCTGCTTTTACTAACTTTTGACACACTTAGCTTTTACGATCTACATGAATTTGATATTGTACTCCTTGAACATATAAAACTACTTGAACTTATAAAACCTGGCATATGAGTCTATTAGCTTCTGACAAATTTGATGCTATTGCTGATGTATGTACACAAGTTTGCATATATGTTCATCCGAATAAATTTAAGCCACAAAACCTGATATGATATTATAATATAGAATAAATTACAATATAATGCATATATAATATACAATCTTACATGTTTTACAAACATTGGTTTTGAAATAGCATACTTGGCTGTTGCTCATCTGCTATTCTTAATTTCCTTAAAAAGACCCAAGATTCCTTCTCACGCCCCACCCCCTTTTAAGTGATTCTCTAGCAAATTCACACTCTACCCTGTCTTGAGCGCCATTTAAGAATTGCTACAGAATGATTCAATTTATATTTTACTAGTGCAGAGAAGGCCCTTTCATCTATTAAGTGCCATGATAACAGAGTGTATTTAGCTGGCACAAGAAGAGCATATCTTCATTTCTTATTTACTTTAATAAATGAGTCAGGTTTTAGAACTCTAAAAAGGAAACGGAAGCTGAATAATTGTAAGAGCTAAGTAGTAAAAGAAGAAAATAGTATGACTACTCACCCATAAAATCACTAAATTATCTTATAAGTCCAGTTATTTTTATTCATTGTTGAAAAATTGGGGTGGTTAGGAAATCATGTGGCCCACTTCAAAAACTTCCCAATTGAAAAACAGACATTTCTGATGATTCCTTATGTATTTTTAAATTATAAGCCACTTAGAATTCTACTAGAGTTCAAGAAAAAAAAAAAAAACAATATTGTGTGGCCAAGTAACATTACATTTCAATCTACAAGCACCTTTAACTCATAAATTTATGGCTACTAAAACCACTATCATTTGTAGATATCTCAACCTTGATTTTACATTATTATTATCACAGCTTTCACTTGGATAAACTGATAATACATTTAATAACATAAGCTCCAATAAAGAAGTGAAGCAAAGTAATTTTAAAAAATAATGGACAGCTTGCTTAAAACAGTTTTAAAAAATTCCTGTACAGTTTTAATTTAATACAACTGAAATAAAATCTACTCTTTTCAAAAGCCTGAGAAGAAACACATGGTTCAAGGTGGTCTGCTGAGGTATGAGATTTTTCACTGGGCTTAAATGAAAGCATAGCCATAAAAAAAAAAAAATGAGGAAGAGTTCGAAAGGGTACAGGCTGTATCTACTGCTGTTCAATGTACTGCTATGTAACATGTCTGTGTTAACGTTGTTCTCAAGGCAAAAGAAGGCAGTTGGAAAAAAGAAACAGTAAAATCAAAGTGTCCCATAAATCAGCAAGAACTCCTACTGTAGAGTGGGGTAGGACTTAAAATCTGTCTTGGTTCTTAGCAAAAGTTCTCATAAACTTTTGAGCCCTAATTGCAGTTTGTTGCTATTTAAATTGTATAAAATAGCCCGACTGAAGGAACTTCATACCAATATCAGTTCATAGTTTCAGGCTTTGCTAATATTGCTTGGAAGCTTATGGTTGTATGTCAGTTCATTTCAATTGGTCTTTAGAGATAGGAAGGTTTGCATTTCCTGAATACTTTATTTTCTAATTTATTCTAAGTCATCATTTTTCATGGCCATCATTTTGTATAAGTCTCTTGAATTATTTGCTCATTATGTATGTTAAGTGTTAATATTTAATAAGTAGATCGTTATAGGAGAAAGATATCTCAATATTTAATACTTTTCATGTGATATTCTTTATGTAATGGACATTGTAGGTGAATTGTACTTCATCGTTCTCCTAGGACAGTGCAGTTCTGTGTTAGCAGTGTGCACTGCTTTTACATCCCTACGTATAGATAACTGTATTTCCTAAACTTCCACCAAGACTTTAACTTTTAAAATTTGTATTTATTTATTTATTTAAAAGGCAGATAGATGTGCTCCCACACACAAATGCCTATGTGGACACACACACACACAAAGAGAAGGAGAGAGGCCGTGAGGGAGAGAGGGAAAGAAGGATTATCAAGTGAGAAAAAATAGAGGACCCCTCCTGCTGGTTTATTCTCCAAATGCTTACAATGGATGGGGCTGGAAGTGAACCCAGGACTGGGACTGCCATATAGATTATGGTGACAGAATTACCTGAATCATCACAAATCACCTTTCAGAGTCTGCATCGTCAGGAAGATGGAATTAGGAGCTGGAGCTGGGAATAAAGCCCAGATGTTTCGACATGGCTCACCAGGATATATTCTGAAATAAATCTTATTTTCCTTTGCTGGATTCCTGAGAGAAACTGGTTCTTTTAGAAGTGATCGGGAAGCAAACAGTATAGCTCAAAGGACCACAGCCCTCATTTCTAGTTACATGACTATTTACCTGTACATAAAGAGGAACATATCTCTTCAGCATATGTGATATACTTTTAGCACAGTGGGGGAAAATCTACAATTCAATCCGTTTAGCTTAGTTAGCTAACTCACAAGCAAAAATTCTGAGAGTCTAGTCTTGATTTAAATAGATGAAGTTAAAATAAAATGCATACCCTTCTCAAAACCTCTCAGTTGACTTATAATTCTAAATATGTCTACATTTTAAATGCAAATGTAAAAGTATTTTTTTTAATTTAAGAAGTCCCTCAAACTACAACTTAAAATAATGTTATTGAAGCTGAGGCAAGTGGTTAACCTTTGATTTGATTGAACAAAGATATACAATGTATAATCATTTTAGTCCCATAATTTTAATGTCACTTTTAGTTTTACAGGAAGGACAACCTTTACTGTACCTGACGAGGTGTTCTTTCTGATTTGCTCCTACACCACTCCCAATCTGAAAGATCTGGTTTCTGATTCTCTTCATGAGACAGCCTTCTCTCTGGCGCTTCAAAAAAGGCAGTTTCTTCATAGTTAATAACACTTTCCCTTTTGTCAGAAAATAGACTCCTTTCTTTGTCCGAATCCTGTTTGATCTCTGTAACGTCGGTATTTGTGCATTTGTTAATGCCCTTTAGTGCAGAGCTGTCCAGACAAGGTGTGGTGCTGATTTCAACTTTTATGGTATTGAAGATAGTACGGTTGTCTCTTTGAGAGTCTTTTGTAGTTTCACAATCATAGTTCATCAAATTGTGATAGGATACAGAATTTTCATCATCCTCGTAGTAATCTTCATGAGCTATTTTATAAATTCCATAACTTTGTTGGAATGATAGATTGAATTCAAAGCCTTTCCTCCTGGCTGAGTAAAAATGACAAAAAACCCATGGTTAGTAAAGTGTAAATAAACAGTAGTTGGGTACATACTATGAATATATAGGAATTACAACTTATTCTTATGAGTTAAAACTACCTATCTTTGGTTCTTTTCACGTATGCAAAGCACTTCTTTAAATTCAAATCCTCATTGGTTTCCACTTAATTTTCCTTAATTGACCAATACAGGACTCAAAATAGATACTATCTTTAAAACTTTCTCTATCTTTAACACAGTTTTACATAACAAAAATTTCATTGTAAATTAGAAAACTGTTGAGGCTGACTCTGTGGCAATGCAGGTAAACCTGTTCCCTGAGCACTGGTTGGAATCCTGCTGCCCCACTTCCCATCCAGCTCTCTGCTTGTGGCCTGGGAAAGCAATGGAGGATGGGCCAAGTCTTTGGGACTCTGCATCCTTATGGGAAACCTGGGAGAAGCTCCTGGCTTCGGATCAGCTCAGCTCCAGCCATCGCAGCCATATGCAAGGTGAACAAGCGGATGGAACATTTTTTCTATCTCTCTGTAACTTTTTCAAATAAATAAATAGATAGGTTTTAAAAGAAAATAAGGGCCAGGCTCCTTCACCTGGGGTGCCTGCATTGCATATGGACACTAACTTCTCCCATTTGATCCAGCTTTCCACTAACATCCTGAGAGGACAATGGAGGACGGGGGCCTCAGAACCCTGTACCCAAGTCAGATTCACAGAAGAATCTCCTGACTTCCAGCTCTGGCCATTGCCTCATTTTGGGTAGTGAACCAGCAGACGGAAGATCTCTCTCTGTGTCTTTTCCTCCATTTGTCTGTAAATTTGACTTTCAAGTAAAAATCCATAAATATCAATCTTATCAAATAAAATGAACCAGAAAATGCTAAAATAGACTTAGTTTTAGACTTTTGAGTCTATCTGCTGTTTTGTACACTATTTTTGAAATAACATATTGTTTTACGCCTCTTTTAAACCTGTTAACATCATTATGTCTATAAGTGTATACATTACAATTAAACCTGCTGTCACACAGCTTTTCTTTCTTTCCTGAATCTTATGTTTTTTTTTTATTGTTTTATGATACAGTTATGATACTGGCATTTCCCTCACCTCCCTAAGTTCCCTCTCTCCCCTCTGTTTTTTTCCTTCCAGTCCTACAATGGGTGTCTTTGGTGAACTTTTGTAAGTCCATCATGCTGCCACTGAAGTGTCTCCCAAAACAATATAGTTACAATCAGTCATTTTTGTTGTGAGTCTGTCCTTGTACTGCTTGCATGGGAACTCACTGGGAATAATAGGTAAAAATGTTATTCATTTTATTACACACACTGGTGTCATTCACATGCTGATTCTATTACTGAAATGTTCCCAGAACCAAGATTTACACATCAATACTGCTGATGGAAAATGGCCAGAATGAGCAATTTCTTGTTTGAGCCAGAATGTGAAAGAAAAAAAAATCTGTTAGAAATGGAAAGATAGAAATGCATGTTCATAGTTTATATACTGTCCCATTTATAGTTCTACTTACTTTTCCCCATAATGTGGTTCAATAAACTTAATCTGGGATTTTTAACTTACAAGGTGAGTGAAATAAAAGAATATTTTAAATTTTGGTGAGTTTTCCTTTTCTCCAAATATTTATGCCATAATAATTTATCAAGATCTCAATGTTATGATTAACATTGTTAAAATTGATGCCTATGACTGAATACTTTATTAAATTCACATAATTACTTTGAAAGATATAATCTGAAAATAAAGAAAAAAAGTTTTAAATTAGTATATGAGTGAAAACTGCCTCCATGTTACAGGGTACAAGAGGCAATCTGCAATAATCTTTAAGAAGAATGCAGGCTTTGCAAGAGACGTGATATGATAGAAAATTCTAAGCCAGGTTATGCACCTAAATCATAATATCACATCAACATCCCACACAATGGAAGTTTACTGGTCCTATTTTAAGTTTGAGAAAACAGGCTGATGGAGGCGTTATCTGAAATTACTTAGTGAAAAAGATTTGAACTTAAAGTTAGCTATTCTCAAATGAGAAACATTAACTGATATGAAATTATTTTAACTGTAATCAGATCCATGAGACAACTATGGCCAAAGCAGCAGAATGACCCGGATGTTCGTTTCTAAGTGGAAGTACATCTATTATGACATGTGACCGATGACATTAGCTAACGGCTTTCCTTAACATGATAGGTAAGTTCTTGCAGAGAGCACTAAAGGACACTAAAGGAGATAAGAAGTTATTCCATTGTCACAGAGACTACAATCATTGAGTAGAGATTGGCTGGGGGGGCGGGAACTCTAGGAAAAATGGTAAAAATAGCATGGTTAGAGCAAACATATGATATCTGACCTTTTGGGATTGACTCATTTCCCTTAGCATAATGCTCTCTAGCTTGGCCCATTTGGCCACAATTATATTTAATTTTTTAAAAAATAGCTGAATCATATTCCATAATGTAGACGAAGCAAGTTTCTTTATCCAGTCCTCTGCTGATGGGCATTTAAGTTATTTTTGTGATTGTTGATTGTGCTGCAATGAAAATCTAAAGATTTTACCTGTGAATTCTACTTTATTAAATTCATATTTTTGTAACCTTTGTAATAAGACCTTGCAATGTAAACCTATTAATCAGTCATCTCTAAGAAACTGCTTGTATTCACCTGAGCTTGTTAATGTTGCTTTTATCACTGTTGTTGCTACTGCCCATAAGTAATGAGGATCTAGTCCTCATCGTACCTCCACTGGTGCCTTGGGACACACTCTGGCATCTATTCCCATGAGAAGATGCTGGACACTCTTTTTCACCACCATAGCATCACACTGGCACCTTGTTATATGTTCATTATTTTCATATGGATGAAGTTTCACTATTCTACTTTTTTAATTTTTAATTTATTTTTCTCCCTGTGGAGGACTGTACTGTATGAAAATGAAACAAATTAATGTGTTCATAGGAAGAAACAGAGAAGTAAGTCGTCCTTCATGCACTACAAGAATGGACTCACAATGTAATGACTGGTTATAACTACATTGTTGGGTGACACCTCGGTGAGGTGTGATAATTCATGAAGACAACCACTGTAAGATTGGAGGGGAGAACAGAGGCAAGGGGAGGGAATCTAGGGAGGGGAGGGGAGATCCCAGTGCCTACTAAACTCTGTCATAAGACAATTAAAAAATTAAATGGTTAATGATAAAACCTGTGTTAAAGAAAATATTAGAATATGAGTTAAATTTGTTACTTTTAAGTGTAAAGAGCATGTTTGCTGTATTCATTTTTATTAATTAAAAACTCAAATATGTACAGGGACCAGTCAAATAACTTTAACAATCAGTAAAGGCAAGGCATGCGTTACAGCAAATGGGAAAGCTCCCTTTTGCTATCCTGAACAGGTGCTGAGCTCCACACAGTTATAACAAGGAACACTGTGCTGTGAGCTATTCTGACTTTGGAGGACAGAGCAGTTACATGGGCCTTAACGCAAAATACAATGGTCTTAAAATACAAACTGTACTGAACTATCCCCTTGTCTTTGAACCAAAATCAATTCATGGACCACGATCTGGGAATGTTTGTCTATTCCTTTCTAGAATTTGTCACCAGATATTCTGTGAAAAACTTGAAATATTTGATTGTTTAATTAAAAAAGAAACCATTATGTCACTCAATCAAAATTAGTCTGAAAGCCATACCCATCTTCTGTGTCTACCACCTGAGCCTCCTGTATTAAATATTTATATATTTTCTCAAATCACTTCGATTTCAGGCACCAGTGGTGCAGATTATTGATGGAGATAGATAATTTTTATTTTTACAAATCACTTTCTAGTAATGATATTAATTTTTGGTTACACACCTCTCAACTCCTTTTCACCAAAGCTGAGATGTAAACTTCTACATATTTACATTTGAAATCTGCGCCATTGGTAAATATGGGTTGTGGAAAAAAAATGCATGTTTCCTTACTTCTGGAGTTCCCTGATGAGCAACCTAAAAGGGCAGGAGGTTGGTGATCCTGGTTTGTTTAGGAGGAAAAGTTTAAACATGAAACAAGAGGTATAATCCTTAAGAACTGAGGTCCTGAAGCTCTTCAATCACCTGGATTATCTGAGGCTCAACCAGCTCAAACCTCATAGAAGGAAACTTGATGGGAACTCCACAGAACGTGAGAATCTCCCTATGGCCTAGCCTGGAAGGGGAGCCATTTGATTTAGAAGCTTCTAGCCTACTGTAGGTTTTTCTGTCAGGTGTAAGACGGAGGGGAATCTCCCAAGCCGTCTGCGATGGTACCTCTGTTGCATTGATTTGTCCTCAGCACTGATGTGGGTGTTCCCCTTCGAAGTGACCTCTTTAACCCCCTTCTCTAAGAGTTTTCATTTTCTCTGGCCTAAGACTCCTCCTCATAATCTTATATGAGACAGAACTGGCTTACTAATTTAGTGGCAAGTATTAACAATTGTTAGACTGTACCGTCAGGCTTATAAGTGATAACCTGTGTGTTTATTTTCTGTCTCTGTTGTGGTGGATATTAATTTCCAGGAGCACATCATTATTATTTGTTCTTTGGTTATTTAACAACTCCTTTGATTAAACACAAAGGCAATTGTGGTATCTATTAAAACAGTAAAACTTTATGATATTACCAATACAAATTTCTATCTTTGAAAAATCTTTAGACATTTAAAATTCTAAATGTTACGTTCTATCAATACATCCAAGCATGCATAACTGGTTAAATAAGATAAATAATAATAAAAAACACTCTGTTGTTGACTGCACACAGTACTTTGGTCTTCTCCAAATTTTACAACCATAAAACGGTTTGAGATGGATTGTTTTTAAACCTTTCTTCTCTGTTACAGACTAATCTACTTGCTTATTCTCAGCAAAGTATAATTAATGGAACTGTTCGTTCAACACGTACTCATACATTCTTAGATTTATTAAATGGTAGAACATTCTGTCTTTGTCTGAAACAATCCTTTTCCTTTCTGGCAGGATAAAAATATATAGCCCTTGCTTCATTTTTTCCCCTTCGATTGGGGGAACAATAATATCACAGAGTTTTGTAATCGACCATGCCTCTCATTCCTACCTATTGGTACAGTTTAGAACATAAATTAAAAAAAAATTAAAAAGTATGCAGCTTGGCTTGATTTATAATCACACACCCAAAGACAAGCTGCCACCCTTGTGTTTTTTTGCAAAAGGTCGTCTTTGTTGTCAGGAGTGTCTCTAATGGCAGAGAAACACACAATTTGCCTTGGAATTGTTTTCAGGCCTTCAGATTAGTTAATTCCTAACATTTTCTGAAACTCTAATATAAGGCTAAAAGGAACAAAATCATGATGGTTTTCTGTGTGTTTCACTGAATCATCACGGCTGTAACATAATGAGTTTGAAACTTTTTTTCAGAGAGTTGACCGTGTTGTTTCAGAAGCAGCCTCTTACAGCCATTATTTCGGGCTGGGAGCTATGGCAGATATTAACATCTCAGGGTTTTGACAATGCCAACATGTGTAGAACTAACACTCTTCTCTACTTTCCTTATCTGAGATAATTACATAATGCGTAAGCACTTCACGGGGTTGTTTAAAACCTAACTGATTTAACCTTACTGTAGCTGCTCTCTAAGAATGGTTTCCTGTGACTATTCTCTATTTACCATTTACATTTGTCCTTGGCCTCCTCATCCCTTACTTGGGCAGCTTTGTCAATGGACCACTTATGTATATTTCATTGCATACAAACTGCTTCCAATCGTCAGAATAGCCAGACTTACTTTTCTCTCCGTCAGATGTCACTGCGAATGTGTTCTGCTTGCAGTTGATGATGCAGCCACAGGGCAGATGGGTCCAGCGTTTGGACAAGACAAACACGGGGGTTACAGTGGCGGCCAGCAGGGTTAGTAGAAAGCTGAGGATCTCCAACGGAAGGTTCTGAAACTCTACCACGTGTTTGACCACCAGGTGGATCTGCAAGGGGGAAAGAACTTGAGCTCCAACCCAGACTTCCATTTTCCACTTGCCAAGTTTATCCTTCCTGCAACGGCTCTGCTTCCGTCTCCTTTCAAGACTGAGAGCCAGAAGCTCTGCCTTGGTGGGCTCCAGGGAAGTGGCGAGATGCGCCTTTCTGTGCCTAATCCGAATTTTGGGGATACCTGCTCTGCAGCAGTAGGTCTGTGCGCACTGCCAATTCAAACCTGGAAAGCTTAGGCTGGGACATGGGGGACCCACGCGGGGGATGTCAGGCCTCCAAGAGACCTGCCGCTGGCACTCCAGGTGGCTTTTATCCTCTCTTCAGTCCTTAACCTCTGCCCAAGCATGTCCAGGAGGAGCAGAGGAGCGTCCCTAGGTCTCCCCTCAACAGGGCTCCTCCCTGGGGGCTGAAGGGAGAAATTCTCCTGGGCCCTCTCTCCTCCCCGGACCGGGATCGCCCGTCCCTCCGGCAGATTGGGCGGTGTCCCCATCAGGCAAGAAAGGAGAACCCAGATTTTGCTGTCCTTTGTCACAACAGATCTAGCGAACATTCCCTACCGCCGGGGATGTCGCCCGCGACCGAAAGTGCTCCCCTTCACTCTCAGTTTCTGCACAAGCAGCTCAGCAGTCTAGGCTTCTTAGTTCACCCAGAAGTGGCATCTCCCCCAAATCACATTGGTGGCCGTTACCCGTACCCACGCCGCCTGGCGCGCGCGCACACACACACACACACACACACACACACACACACACACACACACGGAACAAATGCACTTATGCACTTTTACCATCATGGGTAGCCAAAGGAGGACTTTGGTCAGTGCTAGGATCAAGGCGAAGCGCTTCTGCGCGACGCTAACGGTGTAGTTCCGGGTGCCATAGAGAGTCCCCCGGTGCTCCCGCCTGCTGGCTCCAGCCGCAGCGGGCAGCCTCGCTCCGAACACTTTGTCCGAGCTAGGGGAGCCTCCAGTGCACCGTACAGCCCAGTCTGGAGCGGCTTCTGGAGACAGGGAAAGCGTTCTTCCCCCGGTGGGAGGGGTTCCGGGGGTGGAAGCCCCTCGGGAAATTGCCTGATAGTTGCCAAGAAGTCTCTGTGGCTCCTCGGAACACAGCAACTGGGGGGTGAGCGGCAGCGAGAAGCCGGCCAGCAGCGCCAAGGCGAGAGCGTACACCGCGAAGGGGAGCAGCACGTAGGAGCTGGAGCAGTCGGCCAGGCAGCCCCAGGACGTGCGCACGAAGGCGCCCCAGCCGCACAGCGGGAGCGCCGAGAGCACCAGGCTGGCTGCCCACACCGCCAGCGCCGCGCCTAGCGCCCGGCCAGAGCTCCCCGAGCCTGCGTGGCTCCCCACAGCCCTGCGCAAAGTGTAAAAGTTGTAGGAGACTAACAGAGTCGCCTTCAAGTTGCTGGAGAGGCCCTGGCACAGATACACTATGGCAGAGGTGGTGCACAGAGCCTGGAAGTAGCCAGGGACGTCGTCTGGCCACTGCAAAAGCATGAAGATGGTCACCGCCAAGACTCCCAGGAGATCATCCACAGACCAGGAAGCCACAAGCACGGAGACGACAGTTCGGTTCTGCATTTTTAGCAAGGAAGTGAGGGAAAAGATGCTGCCCGCAAGAGCTGCAAGAGTCATGAAACAGATTAGACAAAACAGGTAGATACTCAGAGCTCCTGGAGGATTGAAAAGGTCCGTAGAATTATGATTTTCTTTCCACAGGCTGGAGTCATTTGTTAATAAGTTACTGAGAAATAAAGACATTGTCCTGGGTCAATATTTACTTTCCCTTCTGAGTAACTCTGGTGATTATTTTCCCCTCAAAACAGCTGTTACAAATCAGATTTCATTTCTCCTACCAAGTTACCCCCTGGAGGTTGCTCCCGGCCGGTCCTGCAGCAAATTGGCACGCCAGTTTGCTTCAGATGGGACTCAAGCCATATTTAAAAAGGGGTTCCATTGGAGCATCAGTAACAAACTTTGCAAACATTCCAGTTTAAAAAAGAACAAATGAGAAACTCTACCACCATCAAGTTGCAGACAACAAGCAAACTCCTCAGGTAGACTGGAAGACAAGGCTGTTTGGGTCCGTTTGGGGTTTCACGCAGAGCAAAGCAGCTTTGTAGCTTGAGGTAATCACACTCTATTCACTTTTGCAAGCACTGGGATGATGCGTTTGGTTCCAGAGCTGGATTCAAAGGCAGAGAGATTGTCAGGTAGACGTTTCAGTTCTGATTCCAGAGAGAGAAGGAAAGAGATACAAAAGAGAGTGACAGAGAAGGAGGCAGAGAAGAGAGTAGGAGGGAGGGGAAGACAGAGACGCAGAGAGAAGGCGTGAGCTGGGTGCAGGCTCCCATCCAAACCTCCGTGTGCCTCGGTCAGCCAGCGATCCTGGAAGCTGCAGGAAGGAGGAGTCAGCTCGGAGCAGGAGAGGAGCAGGAGGTGGGGTTGGGGGAAAAGGGGAGGGGAATTCAGTGTTATGAGTAAAATGCTGCACCGCCTCTCAGTCGGCTTCACTCGAAGCAGGGCGCTCTTCGGTTTTGGCTAGAAAGCTAGCCCCAGTACTTGCTCAGGCTTGATGTGAATTACAAATAGCACCTGGGGGAGGTCTAAGCTACCGGAGAGCTAAGGCACCGATTTTATTCTTACCTAGACTTCCCTGCTGCACGACGCAATGGAGGAAGAATATTACCAATTCCATTTACACGCAGAGATTCTAGCAGATTTCTGCCTCTCCTTCCTTTTTTTTTTTTTTAATGTGAGAATGTTATTAAGGTTTTCATTACAGTAAGCAAAATGATGCAAAAAATTGTGGGCAGTCATATTAGTTTCTGACATTAATTTACAGCAGTTTTCTGTTGAAGACACTCATTAGGAAGATCACTATTTTAATACATAATATTTCTAGGGAAGCTCAAGTTCAGAGGACACATGTTACATAATATGAGGTCTCAGCGCAAACACACACGTTAGACGTTTGGATCAGCATATTGATGCACATTCTTATATCCTCAGATCTGTTAATTTTGCAAAGACAGAATTGACTGTAGTAGTTACGTTTCCCAGGATGTGTTAGGATATCACTGCCCTTCGGCTTAGCCTCAACACCTCGTGGTTACATTTCCAAAGGTGATATGGTAATGACCTCAGTGAGTGGAAGTGGTGATTGAATTTGAGAGTATTCCATTTTAGAAATAACTGAGATTATGTTTTTGAACCTGAAGCTGTTCAAGTGGAAAATGATTCTATTAGTCATTGCCAACCACACCCTTCAATAAACACAGTAGGAGGCTCGCTTATCTTTGTGTGTGGTTTGTCTTTTCTCCCCTTCATCTAGAAGATGGAAATGAAAGCTCCGTGAAGCAACAATCCGCTGTTTGCTCTAGCTTTCCATCCTGATAGTAATTTACCTTGCAGGACTGTGCGAGTTAGAAGGGTTTGAGGAGTAAACCCATTAAAAAAAAAAGCTTGATTAGAAAATGCACTCCTCGCTGAACTTTTTAAAATTTTGAACATTTTAGATATTCTGCACAGCTCGTTTTCTGTCTTCTTACCATGCTTGGGCGGGCAGGCGGAGGGAGGGAGATTATTTACATGGGATTTAATCCTGGGGTTTCAATTAGACTAGGCAGTCAGTGACTTATTGTCAACAAAAGCTGCTACAATTGTCATTTCACACATGGGAATGTTACCATTTGGATTTTTACCATTGTTTCTGTTTATCAGAATTAATTTGGGAAGAGCAACAGTTAACCACTGTGATGCTGTGGTCACAAGGATATTATAAGACAGGAAGAATAAAATCCAGAGAAAGTGTAAGAATTTTTATCCTCAGTTGCCCATGCTGCAATGGCGTGTCTGAAGTCAAGTTCGAATCCTTCTCCTACCCCCTGTGAGTCTATTAACAACCTTCAAATGCGTGCTAAACAATTGTTGCCTATTCTGTAATGATGGTTCCTTCTTTTAAATTTTATTTTATTTTTATTGCAAAGTCAGATATACAGAGAGGAGGAGAGACAGAGAAGAAGATCTTCTTCCGATGATTCACTCCCCAAGTGGCCACAACAGCTGGTGCTGTACCTATCCGCAGCCAGGAGCCAGGAACTTTCCTCCAGGTCTCCCATGTGGGTGCAGGGTCGCAAAGCTTTGGGCCGTCCTCGACTGCTTTCCCAGGCCACAAGCAGGGAGCTGGATGAGAAACAAGCAGGACTGCCGGGATTAGAACCAGCATCCATATGGGACCCCAGCACTTCCAAGGCGAGGACTTTAGTCGCTAGGCCACCGTGCCAGGCTCTGTAATGATGGTACCTCAATCCAGAGGGAATTTCCATCTGCTAGTTCTCTCTTCAAATGGCCATAACCAACAGGGCTGAGCCAGACTTAAGACAGGAGCCAGGAGCTTCTTCTAGGCCTCCCATGTTGGCCATCTGCTGTTTTCCCAGGCTCACCAGCAGGTCGCTGCACTGGAAGTGGAGCATCTGATTGATGTCATCTTGTATACCACAATGCTGGCTCCTGATTCTACATTTTTAATAAGAACAGATGCTCATTTTGTGATAACTCCATCTCAAGACTCCCTTGTTGAAATTTTCCATTGGATTTTTAACAATCATAAAGTCTTCTACTTTCCTTCTTAGGCTGAGTGTTTGAAATGTGTCATTTAAACATGTTATTTTCTATTTTTCAAAAATTTAAAAAGTTTTATTTCTCTTTATTGAAAAGGAAGAGCAGTAGAGAAGGAGAGACGGAGAGAAACCAGTCTTCTCACTGCTGGTTTACTCCCCCCTTGGCTGCAATGCCCAGAGCTGAGGAGACCCAAATCCAGGAATCAGGAGCTCCTTCTTGGTCTCCCATCTGGTGGCAGAGGACAGGGACTTGGCCCAACCTCTGCTGCTTTCCCAGGCCATTAGCACAGAGCTGCAATCAAAGTGGAACAGTTGATGCTAGAACCGTTGCCAAAATGGAATACTGACACCACAGCTGAATGTTCAATCTGCTATGCCATCGCATCAGCCCCCAATTAAAATTTTTAAAAAAACTAATGTTATATGTATGCATTATCAACTATACATAATGCATTAAATGTGTACAGATTTTATAATACATCATGTTTATGATGTTTTGTAAATAATTTTATTATGTTTTAGAATTTTATATACAAAGTATATATGTTTTATAGAATGGATCATACTGAACTATATGTATATATAACCATGATAAAGTATACTTGTTTGTAAATGTACAAATATATGAAGATTAGTAATGTTTCTTTTTTTTTTTTAAGATTTATTTATTTATTGGAAAGTCAGATATACAGAGAGGAGGAGAGACAGAGAGGAAGATCTTCCATCCGATGATTCACTCCCCAAGTGGCCACAACAGCCGGTGCTATGCCGGTCCGAAGCCAGGATCCAGGAACTTCCTCCAGGTCTCCCATGTGGGTGCAGGGTCCAAAGCTTTGGGCTGTTTTGGGCTGCTTTCCCAGGCCACAAGCAGGGAGCTGGATGGGAAGTGGAACTGCCGGGATTAGAACCGTCGCCCATGTGGGATCCCGGGGCGTTCAAGGCGAGGACTTTACCCACTAGGCCATGCTGCTGGGCCCAATGTTTCTTGAAGATTTATAAAACTGTCCCTTAGCCAAAATTCTTTTTAAAATATTCTCTGAACAGAAAAAAGAGAAAGAAAAAGAAAAAGAAAAAGAGGAATGGCTATAGGGCTTTTAAGTAACCAGAAAAATTTATAGGAGACCACCCATAACTGAGCTCAGTGTCTCCAATTATTTTGATTTCTTTTCAAATCACTCACAAGTATAAAGTGACATTGATTTAAACAGACATTGCAGTTATACCAAAACAACTGAGGTGAAGGCTTGCTTTCTTATCCCAGTGCCTCCTTGACCACTTCTGCGTGTTGCACACGTCCTGTACTCTGTTAAGACTATTAACCCAGAAAGTGCTAAATTACAGAAATTTGACAAATATAAATTACAGACTATTAAAACATTTCTCGAGAATCACACGCCAGTAATATCATTCAGCTTGTAGTTTTATGAAGTCCTTAACATAAATACGATTTTGCTGAGGTCAGCAGGCAATTTTTTTCTCCAGAAGTCTATACTACACCTAAATATTTTCTGAACATAACTGAGAGTCCTCAAAGATAGGCAACAGCATAAATATTCAAGTTGAATGTCATAAAAATGATAATGCTCATGTTGGGGACATTGATAATCATAAACAATTGCAAGTAGAAACAATTGCTCTTGTTTTATGAAAATCAAAAAGCACTGCGGATATCATGGATCATAAAGGCATGCTGCATGACTTCTGTTTCTAAAAGCATTTCAAAGAACTGGCTCAGCTAAAGATTTTTACTTAATATATCATCAAATCTCAAATGAAACATTTCATACATACATATACATGTAACATATAAAGGCTAGATTTCCTAACTATACAATAACAGAAATTTGACATCGTTGAAGACTCCCATTCTGTGATTCCTTTCTTCTCTCTCAGTGTCTTGTTGAAAACTTTCAGTAGTTGGGGGACCCCTGGTGCAGTGTCATAGCAAGCTAATTCTTTGCCTGCAGCACTGCCATCGTAAAAGCGTGCCAGTTTCTGTCCTGGCAGCTTCACTTAGAATCCAGGTCTCTGCTTATGGTCTGGGGAAGCAGTGGAATACGGCTCAAGTCCCTTGGGTTCCTGCACCCATGAGAGAGACTGGGAAACCATGCGAGTGCTCCTAGCTTTCAGCTTTGGATC